CCCCCATTCCCCTATTCCTCTTTCTCCCTTCCCTTCTCCTTTTTCTCCCCTACCTCCATCCCTTATTCCTCCTTCCCTTCTCCATATTCCCTCCCTTCTCCCCTTCCCTCCATTCCCCTTATTCTTTTCCCTTCCCTCCCTTCTCCCTTTTCCCCCTTCATCCCTTTTTCCTCCCCTTTCCCCCTTCCCTCCTTCTCCCTATTTCTCCCCTTTCCCCCCTCTTCCCCCTCTCTCCCCCTTCCCTCCCCTTCCCCTTTCCCCCCTCATCCCCTATTCCTCCCTTTCCCCCTCTTCCCCCCCTCTCCCCCCTTCCCTCCTTCCCTTCCCCCCCCTTTCCCCCTCTTCCCCCCCACCTCATGCCGAGGCCGCGTGACGCAGGAGGAGAAGACAGCGCGTGGAGCGTCGTCTCTCGAGAAGCCGGCTTTGAGAGTGTCCGAGCCGACGTCCACGACCACCGAGGACAAGAGGGAGCCTGGAGTGCGAGGGAGCGAGAGGTAGGAGGAGTCGGGCGAGCAGGCGGGCGTCGAGAAGTAGCTCGCGAAGCTGGGAAGGGGCGTGGGTGGATTAATATGGAGGGAATGGGAGTGGATGGGAATGGATGAGATTGGGAGGAGAGGAAGTGGAGAGGGATAGGTGACGTGGATGGGGAATGGATGGATATGATGGATGGAAATGGGTCATTAAAGTAGATGTGTGAGATGATTATGACATTGATAATTAGAAGGGTTGTGTGAATCATATAGGATTAGAAGCTATTGATAATTATATTTTCAAAAAAATTATTTTAATGTTTAAGAATTGCGGTGTTGAAAAAAAAAATCCTGAATTTATATACTAAATGACTGAGCACTTCAAGTTTTCGTAAGGATTAGTTTCATTATTCAAAAAGAAAAATATTGCATTGATATAATGCAGAATGAAAAGATGAACAAATAACTAGATAAAGGCATGTATAAACAATAATGTAATAGTCATTACCATCGTCATTCTCATCATTATTGTTATTATTACTATCACTATCTTTATTATGGAGCTAGAAGGTCGTGGTCGTATTAACGTGAATAGATACGAATAAATAAATAAATAAGTTATTAAAATAGATCTATGAAATAAATAAAATTAGGATAGATAGATAGCCTAAGTAAAATTGATGATTAAGATAGGTATATACAGTAAATAAAACATATAATAATAAAAAAGATAAAATAGATAGATGATTAGAAGAAATGTATGAGAGATAAATAGAATAGACAATGAAAACAGATATATAAAAATGAATAGACAATATAGATAAGCAAAATAAACATAAATAAATGGAATAGACATATAAATTTAAACAGACAAGAATTAGATGAGGATGAAGAAGGTCAAGCTGTTTTGTAAAGAAATTCCTTTTATTTTTATCTAAAAAAAAACGTGAATTATTAAGTGTTTGATTAAGTGGACACTTCAAAATTCCTAGATTAGATATTATCATTAAATAGTATTGAAAAAGAGAGCTCTCCATTTCTTTCTCAAATGCTATATAAGCACGTATATAGGAGGAGTAAGATCTTGCACAGCTGGTACTTGCAAAATTAAAATAAAATGAAAAATAAATATGTTTTTTGACATCCATATAATCTTATATATCCTTAATTAATTTAGTAGATATGAACCCATAAACATTTGAACAGAATATAAAGAGCCATAATCCACATTTATGAACAGATATAAATAGAACATATATGAAAGACAGAATACAAAGAGCCATAATCCACATTTGAACAGATATAAATAGCCACAGGCATCTAAATATATACCAAGAGCTAGGCATTACCTGTTATCATGTTGTGAGTAGGAAAATAACTGTGTTTCGTCTCTGGTGAATGGTTGTACAGTGAAGGTCTTCGGTTCTGGAGTTTCCCTGTGAATGAAAAGGAATAAAGATAAATTATTTAATCCGGTGATATTATCAAGCACGGTGGTAATGCTTAATTTAAGGAGTTTTTGGAGGTATTGTTGTTGTAAGGTAAGATTTGGAATTATTTGGTTTATATTTGGTCTTAATGTAGTAGTGGTAGGATCACGCTTTTCTTTCTTTCTTTCTTTCTCTCTCTCTCTCTCTCTCTCTCTCTCTCTCTCTCTCTCTCTCTCTCTCTCTCTCTTCTCTCTCTCTCTCTCTCTCTTCTCTCTCTCTCTCTCTCTCTCTCTCTCTCTCTCTCTCTCTCTCTCTCTCTCTCTCTCTCTCTAGAAATTAATGGGTGCGTGTGTATGTGTGGTATGATGGGCATGTGGCAAACAGATGGGTAGAATATTCAAAGGTAATAACTATGATTGCAATATGAGATACACTGGCTGTTGCTTGGTTACAATTCTCTCTCTCTCTCTCTCTCTCTCTCTCTCTCTCTCTCTCTCTCTCTCTCTCTCTCTCTCTCTCTCTCTCTCTCTCTCTCTCTCTCTCTCTCTCTCTCTCTGTGTGTGGAATGTGTGTCGTGCGTGTATACATGTGAGCTTTGAG